TATGTTCCTCAGTACTTTTGTTCCCCAGTACTTATGTCCCCCAGTACCTATGTTCCTCAGTACTTTTGTTCCCCAGTACTTATGTTCCCCAGTACCTATGTTCCTCAGTACTTTTGTTCCCCAGTACTTATGTTCCCCAGTACCTATGTCCCCCAGTACTTTTGTTCCCCAGTACCTATGTCCCCCAGTACCTATGTTCCTCAGTACTTTTGTTCCTCAGTACCTATGTTCCACAGTACATATGTTCCCCAGTACTTTTGTTCTCCAGTACCTATGTTCCTTGGTACTTTTGTTCCACAGTACATATGTCCCCGAGTATCTATGTTCCACAGTACTTTTTTTCCCTAGCATCTATGTTCCTCAGAACTTTTGTTTCCCAGTACCTATGTAAATTGTTCCTCAGTACTGTTGTTCTTCAGTACTTTATTTCCTCAGTACCTATGTTCCTCAGTAATTTTGTTCCCCAGTACCTATGTCCCCCAGTACCTAAATTCCAGAGTACCTGGCAGGCACTGTTCAGGGGAAAAATACATACATATGGACCCTATTGATGGTAAATAATACAAAGTGGTCAGTGATCATAATATACTTTTATAGAAAATAATGCCAGATTGGGAAATAGTATAGAGTATTTTGACAGAACCACCTGGTTAACCCTGTTGCTTCACAGTGAAAATGTCCTTGGTTTGATACCRGGTTCATACCTGGAGTCTTTCTGTGTGGACTTTACATTTTCCACTGTTTGCCTGGGTTTTCTCCAGTTTCTTCCTGCAGTCTTAAAACACACGTTTATTTGTCTTCAGGCACAGGCCTCACATGCAAAAGATCTTAAAAGGATTTATCTGGTTAAATAAATAAATATTATAGTAGTAAAGACTTCACATGTAACTGAATCCTCTCAAATATAATAATAACCAATTATTAAAGTTGTACAAAAACAGGATGTGTAAAATCTGCCATCTAGGAGTGGTTTCTTGGTAAGCAGCATGCACTGAAACACATTGCTCCTCCTGGTTGTGGCATGTACTGTAACCTCGTGTAAAACCCACAGCTTGACATTTTTATTTGTCAGTTTTTTTCKGACACAGATGCACCAACGGACAGAAAAAAGCATTAATTARGTTGGCTWTACCAGCCGCGGAGCTTTGTGAACCGTACAAACATGAGACTGATRACAAACAATGCCAAACTGAYCAGGAATACAAATAATTGTATAGAAATAGCATTGTGTTTGAATTATTTTGAAGCCTTTACTCAGTCAGATGTGTCTCAGTTAAATAAAGAAAAGGCTGTGGCTTGACTCTGTTACAGTAATTACATTTCAGAAATATTACCCAGTGACTGAAATGCAATAATAATAAAAAGATTTTGAAATAGTCTGTTTATTTTGCATATATGTTTAAAATGGGATGCATGGCTTGATTTAAGGTCAGTGAGGTCGGTGCTGATTCAGCACTGGTAATTTCCTCCTTTTAATATGACTCAGTTTGGTAAAAAATAAGAAAATAGTACAGGTGTTTAGAAAAGACCATTCATTCTGACGCTGCATCACTAGATTTCTCACTCACACACGCTAACACATTTACTTGATTTGTGTAAATAAAAATGAAAGCATCTGACAACCTCAAAGATACTCATCTTGGTCCAAAAATGACCAGTTAGGCCTAAAAAGCAGGAGTTTCATGGGATAAATATTGTGCTGTTCGAGTTGACGGAGTTCTTCGTCGAACAACAGATACGAAAGCTTCCAGTGTTGCCTACCTTTGCCATGTTAATCTTTAGTAATCAGATTCTGTGATAATCCTTGCATTATAACTTCCAAGTGTGTATAAACAAGAAAAAAGAAGACAATAAACAGGTTTTACACCTGACGTGACTAAATAAAAAAAAGACCAGCCAGGTACAGAGATATATCAGTAAGGCCGTTAAAAACAAAAGGTGACCTTGAAGACGAGGTAATTGCACCTCTGTTTCACAAAGAGAAACTGTCTGTCATCTCGGCCCAAGTCCAGAGAAACTGCAGCTGCAGCACGGTGTCAAAGAGACGGATTTCTCAGCCTTTCTCCACAATTCCTCTGAAAGTTTGAATCTTTAAAGAAGTGCTGTTAAAAATCCTGTGAAGTGGGGTTCTGGAGAAAGTTTAGGAACAACGAATCAACAAGCAGCTGTAAATAGTTTGTTGAATACCCTCAGTTTGGAGAAACAAGAGTTTAATTCTGACCGGACTGACGAGTTAAAAAGCTAGACCCGGGGTCTGCAACTTTGTGGTCCCTCTGCAAGAAGTCTGGAGCCAAAGCAAACATGGAAATAAATAATGAAATTTCTAATGACAATTGGAAAGTAAAAATAATACAAATTACGAACTAAACTGAATTGTTTTTAAAAGGGGTTTGGCCGTTTCCTTTTTAAGCATGTAAAAATACCAATACCTACAGTTTATTCCAGGTATTTAGTTTACTGCAGTTCAATTTTAGTGCAAATAACTATGGTCTTAATGAGACTGGAGTTGTTTTAAGAAGGCAGTAATCCACTCTGGTCAGAATTAAACTCTTTTTCTCCAATCTGAGGCTGTTCAAAGAGCTCTCCACAACAGTTTGGATTATAATTGTTTGTAACTGTTCGACAGAAGCACACTTTAAAAGATCTGAACTCTCTCTTTAAGAGAGAGAAACAGTCAGCTTTTTCTGATCCCTGACCAGTTCTGAAAAACATTCAGCGTATGTTAACAACAATAGAACATGATTCTTATGTTACAACAATATCATAAAAAACTGGAACAGGAGAAATCTCAAAAAGCCCTTTTTTGACTTCATCCTTCTTTGCTAACATCTTCGTCGACGAACAGTCAGGCTGTTTAACATCGTGTGTGCTGCTCCTCTGCTCACTGCAGCCGGTCGGGCGGGGGCAGGGGGTAGTGGAGGAAGCCCTGCGGTGTGGCCGACATGGCGGTCAGAGCAGCCAGAGGAGGGTGGATGGCGGCTGGCGGGGTTGGGGAGGCGGTGAGAGCGGGTGTCGGCGTGCCGGGGGGGAAGCTGTAGCTGAGGTAGCCGGTGGAAGGCGAGGGTGAAGGGGCGTAAGGGTACTGCTCCAGTCCTGAGGGGGCGTAGGGGATGTAGCTGTAGTCCAGGTAAGGGGAGGTGAGAGCTGCCGCCGCCGCCGCAGGGCTGAGGGGAGACTGTAGCAGGAGGCTGGGATGCAGGAACGTCTGGGGGTAGATGTAATGCTGTGTGAACCTGCAAAATCAGAAGGATGAAGGCTCCAATTACAACTGTTCTCTTTGTTTGTTTCACAGATTATTTTGTTTGTTAATGTTTCCAAAAAAAACACTGGAATTTACGATAATATCACTTCACAAATCAGGAAGGTAAAACTGTGTCAAATAAATAAAAGGTGTTGATGGGGGGCGGGGTTAAATACAATATTTCTTTATAAAATAAATCATTTTGGGCTACAGCATAATCTGATAAAAATCACCAAAACAGCTGATAACAACATGATAGAGAC